CTCTTCTGGTGAAAAGTCCTTCAGGCTGCAGTCGGGTTGTTTCTGTTAGATTGGAAAACAATGCATTTTTCACATGTATGATAATGAAGGGTCTGAATTTACCCAAGACCCTGCCTTCAAAATAACGTGTTCTGCATTATGGCCCTTTACCCTCTCCCTGTGTTGGTTTTCCTAGAGGAACATGAAGAAAGTACCCTGAAGGGGGGATCCTGTCCACTATGGTTTGAGAGGGAAAGGGGTCATCTTATTCCTTGACCATACCCACCCACCTCATAAATATTCATAAAATGATACTGTTCTCTTGCCTGAGAACTGAGAGCCCTACACCCATAACAACAGAATGGTCAAGCCAAGGAATGCAGAATGTAGAAAGACACAGTACAGTCTTTACCAGAGTGGACAAAGCTCTAACCATACCTAGACTTTAACCTGCGAGCACCATTCAGACTTCTGACCTCCAGAACTAAAGATCATAAATTGATGTACGTGGTAGGGCATTATTCTAAACCACTAATTTTGTGTCTTTGCTCCAATAGAAAACCATCACAGTATAATCATCGGAAAACCCAAAATGAGATATCAGTATAAGTGCTGCCAGAAATATCCTCAGAAGGCCATGGATCTGGAGTGGAGTCCAACATTTGGCCCAATATATCAAACCGATGTAGGTAGGGTTGGAAGGCAGGACCTGGGATTCGTTGGCTTGGAGAGGTCCTGAAATAAATTAAGCAGATGTCTATTTAAGTGTGTGTGTGTGTGTGTGTGTGTGTGTGTACGTGCACGTGTGTGTAAATTTCCTTGCTTTGCAAACACCTTAGATTTCAATGCAAGTTGCTATTCTCAGGACCTTCTCTGTTCTTGGATCTGCTTCATTTACTGTTTTGCTTTGTTTTTCTTGTTCAAATAAACTCTATCTGCTACAACTGGCCTAAAGAATTCTTCCTTTCGGCAACACAATTATATCAATAATTAAATATTGAAAGTATGGACCCATCTACTAAATAACAAGCTTGTCAGACTGGATTTGCTTAAACTCCAGCCATGTGCCATTCATGAGAAGCATTGTTGCAAAGTAATTCCACCAGAAAACACACGGACTCTCTTGAAATAGGAAGTCTGTATTGCCAGCCAGCAACTGCATGGGGGACTTGCCCAAATCATCAGCCCCAAGCCTCACCGTTCTTTGTCTTTTATGCGCGAACACATACAACACCCTGGTTAACATACTTCACTTAGCAAGAACAGTTAGTGAGAAGTGTAACTACAGAGGCCAAAAAGCAAGGTTAGTGCATTTAGGAACTTTCGCAGATCATGGAACTACAGACTAGGTCTTTGATGGATTGGGTCTTTGTTCCCATTTTACCGTGTGTTGGGGCCTATGTACTGGGTTCTAAGATCAGAATGGTGCCTCCAAAATGTCCTCAGTTGTGCTAAGGTTTAGTATACCTAAAACAAAATGACACTGAACGGTCGTGGAAACTCCCACACCTGTAGTCTCAGATAACTGAAACCACCCCCAATTTAATGACATGCAGTCATCACCATTTCATTTGCTTCCAATGCATAGGGACAGTGATTTAAACTACACTCTGCAAGGCAGATCAGCCACCTCCCCTGGAGCCACCTAAGCAGACCTAACACTTCTCTTGTTCATAGTGGATGCTAGCCCAGACTTCTGCACAGGGGGGCAGCAGTGTGCCAGATGATACCTCAGCAGTCATAAATCCCTGAAAAAAATCCCAGTTTGTAGCTGGCTACCTTCCTTGCAAGAGGCCTGAAGCTGGGAACAGTCTTAAGGGGCTGAGCCCTCACCTGTGGGGTCTGACACTGTCTCCGTGCAGATAAGAACAGATTTGATGTCCAGCAGGCACCGCTGGCGTCTGATTGCTTGTGTGCTGGTTGGGAGAAACACCCCACACATAGGATTACATTACTGAACTGTGTTGTGAGAGTACAATAGAAGACTCCAAGTTTGATTTGCTTCCCCACTCCCCTCTTCACTAGCACAGTTCATGAGGTAGGTAGTCCTTTTATCCATAGGTAGTTATTGTTCTTGCATATCTGATGAGCATGTGAAAGGGGGGTATGGAGAGGAAAAGGGAGACAGATAGACCAAGGGAGTCTAAATGGCTCGCACACTCGCTCAGACTATGGAAAGACTAAGGAACCGGCTGGTTATCAACAACCGTGCTCAGCTAAGCCTAGGGGTGTCCATCTAAAGCTTGTGTGACCTGGCTCACCACGCAACCCAAGGGGGTAGAGCATGAACAACCCCACCCAGCAAGCAGGAATGCCTTGATAGGCTGGGAGCCCAGGGTAGATGCTGCTTTCTTCTGATCCCATGCCACAGGCGGGCTCATGTACAGAGGAAAGAGGTGGCAGCTGCGAGCAGCCCGATGTTTGATCTTGATTATTAACTTGATGGGATTTACAATCACCATGGAAACAAGCTTCCCTGCATGTCTGCGAGGGAGTTTCTAGTGAGTTGAACTGGGAAGGCTCACAGCAAATGTGGATGGCACTGGTCTGTGAGCTGGGGTTTCGGGCTGAACAAAAAGCGGGGCAGGAGCTGAATGCCAGCATTGGTCTTCCTTCTCTCCCTGACTGTTAGTAGGGTAGAACTGGCTGCCTTGAGCTCCTGTCACCATGGCATCCCACCGTGAGGGACTGTACCCTCAAACTTGGAGTTAAAGTAGACCCCTTTGTTCCCACAGTAGGCGAAGCAACTAATACAAACATGTGTGATTCAGAAACTAGGATAGATCAAGGATCAATATCCAGAAGGCCCCAATCAATCAAGAACTAATTGATGCCAGAACACATGGGTAAGAGGGAGCTGTTTGTTTGTTTGTTTTTATTATTTATTTATTTTTATGATGAAGCCATCCAGCTAATAATGAGGCTTGCCTATGGTACCCTAGAATAGCATTTTATCTACAGTCCAAAACAGAGGGCATCTTGATAGTGATTATACAACTGTATTTTAGCCTGACTCTAGAGCCTTCTTATCCCCCAATCCTTCTTATGGCCTCACTAATTCACATTACTTCATTGTATCAGTTAAAACACAGGGAAACTATCATTCTGTCATTTGGAGTATGTAACAGAATATCCGATAGTCTCAAAGTAGCCCTACCCCCACCCCCCCCAGTCCGCCGCTTTAGTGTGAATTCATCCTACCCAGCCATCCCACCATTTAACAACACCTAAAGCAAACCTAAAACACCACAGATCCCTGTGTAGCCCGTGTCTTTGTTTACACCTGCTCTGATTACTTGTAGATGGGAAACATGAAGGTAGTTGGAGTTATTTGGGTACCAAAGAATAATCTAGATGGAGACGCTTGGCTAAAATGTGTCAAATAAATAACTGCAAAGATAAAGGTGGGAAGGGGTGGTAGAACGGAAACAGAAAACCACTGCCAGGTGGTTGAGACTCTTGCTGAGTATCTGTTTGGGTTTTGACTTACACGGGGAGCTTTTGAGTCTGGGAAGTATGTCATGACCTTGCCATGTTTGGCTGCAGACAAAGGCATGTGGGCATGAGAATCACAGAGGGAGACATTAGAAATTCCTGTGTTCCAGTGGTTCTCAACCTTCCCAATGCTGCGGCCCTTTAATACAGTTCCTCATGCTGTGGGGACCCTCCCAACCATAACATAATCCTTGTTGCTACTTCCTAACTGCAGTTTTGCTCCTGTTATGAATCGTTAATGGAAATATCTGATATGCAGGATATCTGGTATGCCACCCTGTGAAAGGGTCGTTAGACCCCAAAGGCTTGACCCACAGGTTGAGAACTGTTGTTTTCTATTCTGTAGTCTGCATTCCAGTGTTGGAGACCTGAGACAGTTTCTTCTCCCTCACCCACTCAGTTTTGTCGTTCACTCCCTTCTAAGTGTTCCAAGAATTCTGAGACCTGAAGAGAAAGGGGAAAGGCAGGCACTGGGATCTCCATCCCCTCCCCACCCCTCACCCCCACCCCATCCCTACCCCTTCTCATCCCCACACTTAGGTCTGCCCCAGCACAACCTGGGCTGAGGCGCCTCAAGTCTGGGCCACCTTCACCTGCAAACTTCTTCATATGCGATTTAAGACATTCAAGGGTGGGGACTGTGAGCTTGTGATGGCACCCGCCTGTAATTTCCGGCACTGAGGCAGGAGGGTAGAGTTTGAGGCTAGCCTGAGCTACACAACAAGTTGGCCAACATCCTGGGTTACAAAGTGAGTCTTTGTTTTAAAAAACAAACAAAATCCAAACAGAACATGCAAGGGAGCTGGGGGACAGTGAGCTCAATGGCAGAGCTTAGCCTAGCCAACTGCCTAGCCAACTGAAGACCCAGGTTCGATTCCCAGTAGAGGGACATAGAGCTCGAAACAGCGTTGGGCACCTCATTCCCATCCACTATTACTTGGTGCTGCACCAGGCCTCAGCTATAAAGCAGAGAGTACCTGCAGCGGCTACCCACACAGGGCCCAGTGTCTAGCCAACCACGCTCTGCAGGATGTGGACCTTGGCCTCAGTGCTCCGGAAGAGATGGGATGCCTGGGTGATGGTCTCCTTGTGCTGGCTGGCACCCTTAGTGTGCCTTGTGGTCAGAGCTTCGGATTTTCAAACCTTTGTTCTCCCTCCCACAGCATTTCTTTAGAGGCAGGGGTCTCTAGGCAAATGGAAATCCTGGCTGGCATCCTGCATCTCACAGGGCGGAGTAGGAACCAGAATCCTTTTTCCGACCCAGACAAGTAGGTGCAAGAGGATGCTGGCCAGGTCCCAGGAGGTGGGTCTGGTCTGAGGCTTTGATTCCGGCTCCGGAGGGCCCGCCCTCTTCGGTAAGCAGAGGCAGGGTCTGTGTTCAGGGCAAGCGGGGCTCAGACCCAAGAGCAACACTGCGGGGAGGGGGGCAGGGGGTGGCAGGAAGTTGCTCTGCTCTTTGACCTCTGGGAGGCGAATTAACGAGGTGGCCCATAGGAGGCTGGGTAGACTGACCTCTCCGACTGCCCGATTGACAGCCCCACGCGGTGGGCAGAAGCGTCCTGCCTGCTGACCATGGAGCACCGTGTGAGAGTGAAGTCTTGGGTAGAAGAGAATCGGGCCTCCTTCCAGCCCCCAGTTTGCAACAAGCTTATGTGAGTCCCCAACTCCCCGCGACTTCTACTCACCTCTTTTCTTATTCATCTTCCCCTTCCTCCTCCGTTTTCAATTGTTCCCTCCCCCTCCAGCCTGAGGTCCCCCACACCCAGAAGTGTGCAGAAGATGGCTCGCCATCTCCTTGGTGCTTTCAGGGGAGTGTGAAGACTGGCTGTTTCTGGTTTCGCTACCTCAGTCTGTTCCTCTTTCTGAAGACCACAGTAGAGACAGTGGCCTTGACTTCTGAGACTGGCTTGAGTGTCTCTGAGGCTGTGAGAGATGAGGTGGCAGGATGTGACATTCCTTCCATGGCTGAAAGCAACCACACACTTTGGGGAGGGGCACATGGTTTTTGATGCCCCAGACCTGGAGACAGCTGAGCCACACACTTCAACCCTGGCAAACCCTGCAGCCATGGAGTCAGAAGACCAACGTCTCTGCATGGTGTGTGTGTGTGTGTGTGTGTGTGTGTGTGTGTGTGTGTGTGTCCATAGCCTAGGCGGGTCTTAACTTGCTATGTAGTTAAGGGTGGGTTTGACCTCCCAATCTTCCTGCTTCCACTCCCCAAGTGCTAGAATTGTATATGGGTACCACCACACAGTCATTGTGAGGTGCTGGGAGCAGAACTAGGGGCTTCTTGAATGCTAGGCAAGCACTTTTCCAATCTGAGCTCCATCCCTAGCCACAGGGCTTCTGGATTCAGGGCTCAAGGCCACACATGGAAACACCAGGCTCTCCCAGACCTCTTCTACCTACAGCATGGACTGACCTGTCCACACTGCCTTTCATCTCAGACTCCCCCTCCACCACCTCCCTCCCCCTCTCTCGTTTCTGCAGCTGAGCTTCCTGTCCCCTTATTTGTGTGTCTTTGAGTCTTTTCCAATGGGTGATGTCCTAATCCAGATAGCTACAGCCACTAACCCTCCCTCCAACAGGAAGATCAGGCCAGGCATATTCACATCATCTCGTTCAATTCTCACAGTTGCCCACATGGGGTGGTATTTAATAAGTAACTTTCCCAATGTCACAGAGCTAGAGAGGGACAGAGTCCACATGGGAGCCTAGAAACAATTTGACTACAAAGTCCACTCACTCCCTTGGTCATTGCTCAATACTAACCATCGCCTAACCATACTGCGCAATGTCTAATAATCACCGCCCCTTGAAGTCTTCTCTCTCCTCTCTCGACTACTTCTGCTGTCTCCCCAGTTTGGAGCTTTATCAGTTTTATCTCTTTCCTCCATCACACTCCTCCAACTCCTCCTCCTCCCCCTCTCACAGCCATGGCCACTTCTCGGAATCTATCCTCATCCCTGCCTCCAGCCCTGCCCCCTCCCAGCCTTCCAGCCCTCTGGAACTCCCAATGGTAATCATCACAAATCACAGGCCCTCCCTTTATTCAGTCGGCAGATGCTCTGCTCTTTGGGGATGTGGCAGGAATCAAACTGACAAAATTGCCTTCCTTGTCGAACTGAGATTCTATCGAGAGGGGATGTCAATCAGTATGAGCAAGCCTTGGGGGTACCCCTCCATCAGTGGGAGGGCTGGTTTCTCATGGAGAGCCTATGCCATGCCTGGTTCTAGCTTCTGGTGCTTTGTTGGCATCAGTGGCGTTCCTCGGTTTCAAATTCATGAACCCTGCATCCACTTTCATCTTCACAGACCCTCCCCTGTTGTGAGTCTCCATATCCACATTCCTACTCATGAAACCTCACTTACATTGCACTGAGCAAAGCATAAGGCAGCTGGAACTGTCACTCTGTCCTGGTCCGGACTCCTGTTTCCTGGAGGCATTACCCCCCTCCTCTCGTGTCCCATCAAGACTGACCCTTGCTGCTTCATGTTGAATAGCACTGTTAGAGAGGTAGGCTCTGAGGTTCACACCCGGCTCTCATATGCTGTGATGTGAAATGTAGCTCACTCCGTTACAACTTCCTAAAGCGGCAACAGCCCTGTGTCTGAATAAGTTCACTATCCTGGGGGTTAGAACTCCAATATAAGAAATGGAACAGATGGAACAGTCAGAAGATTCAACCTGTAACACCTGCAGAGAGATCTGCATTCTGACTGGGGAGCGGGTAGTTCTCAAATAAAACTGTTCAGGAATTCTTTGTATATATCTCAGTAATGTTTATTAATAAAAGGTAAAAAAAAAAATGGCTGAAGAGATGGGTGGGTCAGTGGGTAAAGGCCTGAAGGCCTGAGTTCAATCTCTGACCTCATGAGATCATCACTGTGAGAAGCCAGGGCAGGAACCCGGAGGCAGGAGCTGATGCCGAGGCCATGGAGGGAACTGCTTACTGGCTTGCTCATCATGGCTTGCTCAGCCTGCTTCTTATAAAACCCAGGGCCACCAGCCCAGGGATGTCACCCCCCACAGTGAGCTGGGCCCTCCCCCATCAACTATCAATCAAATGCCAATCTGTTAGGAGCATTTTCTCTGTCGAGGTTTCCTCTTCCCATATGACATAAAACTACCCAGCAGATAAATGCATGATAGTAAAAACACCTATGAAATGAATTAAAGCCACCTCTCCAGATGAGGAAACTAAACCCCATTAAGGTCAACTAATATCTCCAAGAGTGCAATAGAGCTAAACTGATCTTAGCAAGCTGGCTTCAGTGCCTGTGGACACAGGTCACACACATGTCTGTTTCCCCTGCTAGATATCACAGTGTCCTGACTTCCCTGAGAATGGTCCCCAGGGGTGGAGAGGCTCCCTTTCATTCTCCTGTCATGGAGATCTTGAGTACGACCCGACCGGGGTTGTGAAGAGTGATACTGCTGTTTCTTTGTTGGTCTGAGGGTGTGGAGACACACAGCCACCCAGAGAGACACTTAAATGCCCGAGGAACAGCCTGGCCGCGAGAGCGGTCTGTTCTTCTCCCAGATGGATGCACCAGGTCTCCTCCAGCCCCCACAGGTTCCTGCTTTCCTCCCCTCATTTCTAGGAGGTGATTGGGGTCCTGTTCTTGTCTCTTTACTGCAGGCACCAGGAGCAGCTCAAAATCATGTTCGTTGGAGGCCCCAACACCAGGAAGGATTATCACATCGAGGAGGGCGAGGAGGTAGGCTGTGGATGCTCACCCTTGCCATCCTGCTGACACTTGGGGGGGGGCAGATACTTCCACCCCGGGGCTAGGGGGAATGGCCCAGAGGAAAGCAAATATGACTGCTGCAGGAAGGGGAAATGGCTGCCTTAGAATTGGGGTGCCTGCAGGTCTACCGTTGACTGACTGCCTTGTGCCCAGGGAACTCTAACGGGGAGGCCCTGTGCTTGGCAGGATCTTGCTGCACCGTCTTCACTTTCACGGGCATGTGGTGGTCTACACTGATGGTCCTTCTCTTTCAGCCTGAATGTATATGGATGGTCTCCCACATGAGACACGGACTCTGAGAGATCCCAGAAACCAGGCTGTTGCTGTAGTGTTCTTGTCCCTCCAGGTGCCTCCGCCCTTCTCAGCCCCAAATAAGCACACAAAGACTTATGTTAATCATTAAACTGCTGGCCAATGGCTAGGGCTTCTTACTAACTAGCTCTCTCTTAATTATTAACCCATTTCTACTAGTCTACGTATTTCCATGTGGTCTTGGCTTATCGGAGAATGCCCAGACCTGTTTGTTACCCCTTTGACAGCTACATGGAGCCCTCGTGAGGTGCCTCTCTCCCCACCCTCTCTTCATCTCCTAGCCATGCCTATCTTCCTGCCTCTACTGACTACTGGCCAAACAGTGTTTTATACATCAACTGATAAGAGAAACATATACAGAAGGACATCCCCCATCACCAGACTTTCCTTCTCGGTCACACGAGGAACCAAGTGTCTAAGGACAGAAGGAGGTGGGGGTGTTGGGTGGAAAGGTAACAAGGCAGCTTGAGCAGTGCTAAAGGAGTGGGAACGAGGTGGGCCCCTCTTACTACGCTAGGGGACAGGTCTGAGCCAGAGTCTAGAGGCTGAACTCTGCTTTTCCTCCCACTTACCGAAGCTACATTTTAAAAGCAAAAGTTGAGTGTGATGCACATACCTGTAACCCAGAAGGGGAGGCAGAGAGGACCGAGAGCTCAAGGACAGCCTGGGCTGCAAAATGAAAACTTGTTTGGAGGGCTGGAAAAATGGCTGGAGGGATGGCTCAGTGGTTAAGAGCACTGGCTGCTCTTCCAGAGGACCTGGGCTCAATTCCCCCGCACCCACGTGGCCGCTCACAACTGTCTATAACTCCTGTTCCAGGTGATCTGATTCTTACATACTGACATGTTTGCAGGCAAAAATACCTATGTATATAAAATAATAATAATAAAAACTTGTTTGAAGAGAAGAAGAGGAGGGAAAGGAGGAGGAGACAACAACCACCACCCCTCCCGGGAGACAGGCAGATCCCCCAGTATACATCAGGATGTAGCGGGAAAGGGACCATTATGAAGGCCCCTTATTTTCTAGGAGAGCTGGCTCTGCGGTTTGAGCCTTCACCCCATCACTGACATCCCCCACACCAACCTAGGACTGCTCACCATGAACCCTTGAGAACTGCTCTGTCAGCAAATACTGAGGGCCCAGTGTGTGTGCTGGGCACCAGTGTAGCAGGCAGAGGGCCTGTGGCAGTGGCCTGAGCTGAGCAGAGACAGTTCCACACACCTTGGCCTTCTCCTACCCATTGAACACTTCTCTGAAAACTCTTTCAGTGAATTAAAGAAAAAAAAGATATGAAAATCTAAACTACAGTGGGGAGGCAGGCCATAGGTGAGTGTCTGTGGTGAGTGAGGCCCAGCCAGCCTTTCCTGCTTGCCTCATCTCCACTCCACGGTTAGGCCCACTGTCAGTGTCCACCCGTCTGTCCCCATCTATCTCTCTCCTTCCTCTTTGCCCGTACTCAGGGTCTCTCCATGATGCTCAGGTGGGTGGGGGTCTGTGTCAACTGGTTTATATACCAACTGGAAGCAACTTAGAATCATTGGAGAGGAGGGAGCCTCCCTTTAAAAAGGCACCTCTTTAAGATCTGGCAAGCCTGCTGGCATTTTCTTAATTAGTGGGAAGGTCCAAATCATGGTGGGTGGTGCCCTCCCTGGGCTGGTGGTCCTGGGTTCTATAAGAAAGCAGGTTGAGCAAGCCACGAGGAGCAAGCCAGTAAGCAGCACCCTCCATGGCCTCTGCACCAGCTCCTGCCTCCAGGTTCCCACCCGGCTTGAGTTCCTGCCCTGACTTCCTTCAGTGATGAGCTGTGATGCGGAAGCTTAAATCAAACAAACCCTCTCCTCACCCAGTCGCTTTGGTCATGGTGTTTCATCCCAGCAGTAAAGCGGTGTCTATGAGTCCTGGGGTCAGTTCATGCCTTGATTCATTTGGTGGCTGGGAGATGAGAAGAGCTAGCTTCAATGTAGAGGGACACTTGGTGGCCTAGAGAAGTCTGGCTGGAGGTAGGTTTGGGATATTTGGACCTACTGTTTGATAGGAGGGCAGAGTTTGGCAGCTCCTCAGGCCTTGGGCAGCCTCAGAGCAAAGCAGAGGTTCAGCACCCTCTCTGTCCTTGCCTGCCCTCACCCAGAGCCTGAGCAGTCAGTCTGAGTGATGTGTAAAGAACACCCAGTCCTGGCCCTGCTGGGTTTCCTGTCTTGACTGAGCTCTGGCCTCTGCACCAGTCCTTAGGTGCCCTGGACCCACTCCCCACTCCCCACTTGATGCTTTCTCTGGTGGTTGCCAGGAATGAGGACAATAGGCTGGGGACAATATGGGGTTCCTCTACCCTCGGAAAAAGGCAATGTTCACGAAGTAGGTATGTAGCAGATGTGGGTTACCTGTTCCTGGCTCCCCTGCCTGTGAAGTCCTTTCCAGGCCACAGACTCAGCCAGGCTCAGTTTAATATCTGTGTGAGCTGGCACACTTAATCTTCCCGCTGGCCCCAGGCCTCAAGCATCATTTACTTCACAAGGAGCCTAATTCCTTTTGGATTGCCCAGGGCTGTTGGTGATTTTCTGCTGTCAGGGGTATGTCCTCTGCTGTGGGCCAGGTCTACCCCCCCATCACAGGGAAGGCCTCTGGGCAGAGGGCAAGAGGGGGAAACTCCACCTCTGCCTTCTGGTTTTGATCAATGGCTGTTAATACCTTGCAGTCGGCCTGCAAACAGTTTGAATCTGGTCCCTTTCTCCAAATTTCCCTGATATTAGCAGGGACCCTGGCCCCTTCCATAACCCTTCCATAACCTCCTCCTCTTCTCTATCGTCTATCATGAAAGTACCCAAGATTATACTGAAAATTGATCCCTCTCTCCCCTCTCCCCACACATGCATGCATGCACACATACACACACATGCGAGCATGCACATACATAGGCACACACATGCTTAATTGTTTCCTATGAGGAAACCTAGTAGGTTTTTCCTATTTGCATTAGATAATGTGTGTGTGGAGGGGATTAAACTCAGAGCCTCATTCATACATACTGCATAGTAAACATTCTTCCATGGACCTGCATCTTCAATCATATGGCTTGTTTTTAATAAAGAAGGTAAATACCATTCACTGCAGAAAACATAAGATGCGCAGAAAGAAAGCTTCGCCTCCCTCACAACCACAAACACTATGTTATATACGGGCTACTGTGTAATCAGTGTAATTAATTACCATATAATTAGAATCCTCTCTCTCTTTTTTTTTTTTTTTTTTTTTTTTTTTTGAGACAAGGTCTCACTCTATAGCCCAGGCTGGCCTCAAGCTCAAGGCATTCCTTCTGCTAATTAGAGACACAAGTCACCTTGTCCAGCTCATAAGCTGTCGATTGGGATTTCAGGATAGAATAGAAAACTTGGTAGGAGTCCCCTAGAGAAAGCCCAGCCACCAGTTGCTTCCACCTAGGCTGCCAGCTCCCACAGCCCAGTGCCAGCACATCTCAGTGGCTGGAGGAGTACACACAGGTCCCAGAGCCACACACAGGCTACAGCCCCAACCTGGACTCCAGGACTCACCAGCTTAGACCAGATGTTTTGACCCTCGGCTTTATTTTCTTCAGAACAGGGCTAATGTTGATGGTGGGGTTGTAAGATTTCTAAGGAGAACGAAAAGCCCTCTTGTGTTACGAGTATTTGTGTTGCCACTGCTGAGCCATTGGGTTCTCCAGTGAGTTTTACCTAGCCTCCTACATCCCATCTCCCAGCTAGGCACGTGCTGTTGCATCCTGAGGACTCTGAAGGCCACCTACATGTTCCAGATGTGGCTCCTCTATGTCTCCAGCTTTCTTGCCTGTGGCCTGGACCAGGGGTACAGGGACTTTGGGCCAGTAGTGCTGGAGCTGTTCATAAGCCCTGAGGTCTTCAGGAAGCTGTTCCAGTTTTCTGGCCAGAATTCAGGTCCTGGGCAGGAGTAACGGATCTAAAAGATGGAGCAGGGCGGTCCCAGCCTCTTTGTTTTTCCACAGGTGTTTTACCAGCTGGAGGGAGACATGGTTCTCCGAGTCCTGGAGCAAGGAAAACACCAGGATGTGGTCATTCGGCAGGGGGAGGTGAGGCTGACACCAGGGGAAAGAAAGGCAGAGGGCATCAGAGCAGAGACCCTCCCTGGTCGCTTTTCCTGCCGATCCTCTGGGCCTCCCCTGAGCACACACATTCCGTTGGGTTCCTTGGGTAGAAGCTGGGCAGAGAGTAGGGTCCAGGGTGGACTGGCGGTGCTCCCTGCTGCCCTGTGGGTCAGCCAGCATGCTGGGGGCACTGAGGTCACCTCGAGGGACTGCAGCCATGCTGGACTCCTGTTCTCATCCCCTACAGATCTTCCTCTTGCCTGCCAGGGTGCCCCATTCCCCACAGAGGTTTGCCAACACCATGGGGCTGGTGATTGAGAGGAGGCGGCTGGAGAGCGAGCTGGATGGCCTGAGGTAATTGCTTGCTGGTGCCATGTGGGGCTTAGGTGATAAGAGGGCTAACAGCAGTGGAGCATATTTCAAAACTATAGCAGGAAGGATCTAAGATAGACTCAAGAGAGCACTCCTGGCCACCCAAAGACTAGAGGGCCTGACAGCAGGAGGTAATGGGTTTGCTAGTTGACCAGGGAGGACAAAGTGGGTTGGGTCATGAGGGAGGGGAGTGCTCTCTGTGGTGCACATGAAGTCTCTGGCTGGAATTGGCATTTATGTTTACTGCAGGTCTGCTGGGAAGCCATTGGGGGGTGGAGGGGATGCAGACAGGGAGAATGAAGGAACCTCGGAAGCCACATGTCCTGGTACAGTCAATTATTGCTGCTTCTAGCAGCCTGGGTCTACAGACGTTATCCTTGGCCAGTGCCTCTACACTGTGTCTCTACCCCAGATAACAATAAGTGCAGACATCTGGCTAGCAACAGTTATGTGCCAGGCACCAGCTAGGGTTTCTGTGTATAATTATTTACCCTATATTTTCCCACGATGCTGGGGGTTAGGTGTTGCTTTATCATCTGCTCTTTTTGAATCTCTGGGGACAGAAAAGAAACTAGGTCCCGGTAAAGTAATTTGCTAGATCTGGTGTTACAGAGAAATGGATAAGCAAGATAGAAGGATAAATCAGACTTCTTCCCTCTTCCCTTGACACCCTCCACCCCATCAGTGGTTCTCAACCCGGGGGTCTTGACCCCTTTGGAGGTTAAATAACCCTTTCACAGGGGTTGCTTAAGACCATTGGAATAGCCTGGCAGTGGTGGTGCACTGCCTTCTGAAAGCTGTTCATAAAGTTCTCTTATTCATGAGACACTGTAGACTTCTAGAATTTACGCAGTGGGCATCACTGTAGCCCCCGCCCATTGAAGAAGTGCATGAGTATTTCTCAAACTGTTGTAAAAAAAAAACTCCTAAAATATATACTGCTAATGGCTGTACCACAGTCTAAAACTAATGACCCCTGTATAGGCAGATAGTTGGTCTTAATTCTAAAAGGAGCCTCTCTAAGGTGGCTTTATGGAGGGGACTCTAGTGAGTTATTGGTATCCTCAATAACATTTTACAGCAAATTCAATAACGGATTTCATCTGACTGCTTCTGACCTTTAATAAAAACCAGGGACTCAACATTAAAATGCCACCCTGAAGGCCATTCCTAAGGGCACTGTGGCCCCACAATAAAGCTTCCTGGTAGCCAGTCCCATCTCAAGGTAGAAGCTAGGCGGGGTGGTATATCTACAGCCCATCTCTCTCCTTAGGACTGCCTCTGCTTTTCTGGTGAGAGTGGAAAGCCAGACAGAACTGGACTGGTCTGGAGCTTGTTCATACATTAGGCATTCTGGGGACAGTTGTCCCAGCACCTGCCTTGTGCTACTTGCATAAGGACAGTTGGATAGCACAGCTCTGCCTGCCCAAGTGTCCCCTGGCTGTGGGGATATGGGTGGTTGCAAGGGTGATGGAAGACTGTGTATGTGCCAGAGCAAGCCAGAGCTATGCTCAAGTCCTAAGGAGCAGAGATGACCTCCTACCTCTAAAACAGAAGAATCCTTTCCTCATGCACGCACGCACACACACACACACACACACACACACACACACACACACACATTCAACATTGGCTACTGAAGTTTCTCAGGCTCAGCTGCAGCTTCTTTTTGCTAAAAACAAATAATACACTTGGACTGAATGTTCTCCAAGCTTCTGTCTTAAGCATGCCCCTCTCTGCCACAATCAGGCCGTGTAGCCCCAATCAAGTGATTCTACCTCTGGCCCTAGTTCTACTGCTCCACACATGCCGGGTGTAAGTGTGATCCCTGGGCTGTGCCAGCAGCGGTGACAAAGCAGCATAGCTGTGCAGTGCCTGGGCTCAGAAAGTGGCACTTAACCAGAGCCCAGCCTGCACCAGCCTGGCCCTAAGCTGCCCGGATGGGGAGTGATTACCTTGAGCTCTGTTTTGGCAGGTACTATGTAGGGGACACTGTAAATGTCCTCTTCGAGAAATGGTTCTACTGCAAAGACCTCGGAACACAGTTGGCTCCCATCATCCAAGAGTAAGTCACCAGCTTGGTCCCACCCCTCGCTGTTCTTCAGTTTTGAAAAGCTCACTGGCCCGGACCCATCAGGCATGGGAGTTAAAGAGAGTCTCCCACCAAGGGGATGGATGGAGGGAAAGTATAATAGGTGATCAGCTATGTGAGGGTCTCTGAATGTGTCCTGGCTCCCGGGTATGGTGTATGCCTCACTGGCATCTTAACAGGAATGCTGCCATTTCCCGCCTGTCTGTCTCTGCAGGTTCTTCCACTCTGAGCAGTACCGGACAGGAAAGCCTGACCCTGGTGAGGCTGCTGACAGTCACATTTCCCTTCTCCTGCATCCTCTCTCCATCCCTGTAGTGGGATGGGTCTTGACTTAGGGACCCAAGGGTCCTCTGCCCAGAACTTAAAGCACTGAGCAAATGACACCAAGTAGCATCCCCATATGACTGTTCAGCCATTAGGCTACACCCAAGACCCATATCTGCTATTGCTTCTGGGACCTGGCTATACTGGGGCTGGGTGGGCTGAGCCTTGGAGGTCACTCACTGCTCATCACTGTGTCACTGGCACAGACCAGCTGCTCAAGGAGCCGCCATTCCCCTTGAGTACACGATCCGTCATGGAGCCCATGCCACTGAAGGCATGGCTGGTTGGACACTCCAGAGAGCTTCAGGCAGGCACATCCCTCAACCTGTTTGGGGACACCTATGAGACGCAGGTAACACTCAACATCCATCCATCTATCTGGCACATGGGAAGTGGGGGGGGGGTGTGTGTGTGTGTGAGAGAGAGAGACTTCAAAGGCATGAGAAGAGCCTTCCTGTCCCCCCTCTGTCTCAGGGTAACCATGTTTCTGTGGCTGGAATTCTCTGGTAGCTTCATGGTCCCACAGACACTTTTCTTTCAGAGTGGGAGGTTCTTCACCCATTGTTAGCTACCTGGGTGTCTGCCTTACCTTCCCCTCAGCTTTTGGCACATGAGAGCTCGGAAGCTGAAGGGAAAGAGTTATTTGGCAGAGGGCTGGGCAGCAATGTGTAGCAACCCCAACAAGCTCACCTTTCATATAATATTGCTGCTACCTTAAGCTTTGGTAAGAACAGGCAATTGCTATGGACAAATTAACCCACAGCTGCCAGTCACGTGACAGCTTATTTACTAGAGAAACCTCGGGAAGTTCTAGGAGGATAAAGAAAAAAAGTCAAGGAAGGTTCATGGAGGAGGTGATGTGCATATAGAATTCTTTAAAATTTATTTATTTCACATTTATGTTTATGTGTGCTAGCCTGCATGTATGTAAGCACATTACATGCTTGCCTGGTGCCTGTGGAGGCCAGAAGAGGGTGCTGGACCCTCTGGAATTGGAGTTATATATGTTTGTGAATGACCCTGAGGGTCCTTTGTGAGAGTAAGTACTCTTATCCAGTGAGCATCTCCCCATTCCCCAAGTAGAACTGTAAAGCTAGTGTAAAGGAAGGGAGGCAGATGGAGCATTCTAGGGAAGGTAGAAACACAAAGTCACCAAGGACTGAAACAGCCTCACCCTGCAAGACTCCGAGGCTGGCCAGAGCTAGGTGGAGAAGCCAGGATGGAAACTAGATTACTAACTGTTCCTGGAACTGTGCTGAGCTAGATTAAGGGAGGGGACATACCCTACAGACAGTGGAGCTAAATCCAGTGTTGAGGGAAGAGGCTAGAGAGGCATTTCAAAGCTGTCATCCTTCCTTCGTGAGGCTGGATCAGAGAACAAGGTGTAAGAGGGAGTCCTACAAGGATCCTGGTAGCCCTGTGTGTGGTAACTTGCCAATGGCACAGCCTGCATGGTTAGAAATAATCACTCTGGGTCAGGAAAATGGCTCATTGCATAAAGACACAAACTTACTTACTGCACATGATCATTGGAACCCACATAAAAGTGGGAAGAGAGAACTGATTCTGTAGGTCATCCTCTGATTGCCAATGCATGTGTACCCACACAAACACAACACGTGCTCACTCATGATGATGGTGATGTTGATGATGGTGATGGTGGTGATGATGATGATGATGAAGAGAAGAAGGAAGAAGATGAAGAAAAGGGAAAATAGGAGAAAAAGAAGGGCAGGAGGAGGAGAAAAAGAGAAAAATCTCACTCCAGGATAGGAGGCTTAGAGTACAGGCTTGGACTACTTTTTCAGTAACAGGGACACCCAAAGCTTATATAAGACTGTGATAAAGGACACAAAACCCAAAGCTCTTCCACCCATCACAGCTATAGCAATGACTTACACACACACACACACACACACACACACACACCGTCTACCTCTTCTAGCTCTCCATAGCAAGTATCTATTGACCCCTATTACAGCTGACGGGAGCACTGGCCCTCAGTAGTCACAAGGCTGGTAGACCTCAGCCTCTCGCTTTCTTTCTCAAGTCAGACTCTGAACATCTCACAGGAAGGGCGGAGGAAATCTGGGGAGCTGGGGTGGGTGTGTCTACATGTGAGCTGGTGACTCGCATTAGGAGGAACCACAGAGGGGTGTGTGTGTGGTGTGTGGTGTGTGTGTGTGTGTGTGTGATCATGGGTGATTGTGAGCAGGCAGCCCCTGCAGCCAGGCTGCTGGCAGAGGCCCTCCTTCCTGATCCCTGACAAGTAAAGCCTTATCATATGTAAGGCTGTAGCACTGCCCAGCCTTGCCCCTTGAAGGTCACAGTGGTTGAGAGCCAGGGTTGGAACCCACATGGGGCAGGACCCCACCCCATCTCAAGGTCCCCTCCAAACTCTGCTTTGTCTCCTACCAGGTCATTGCCCATGGACAAGGTAGCAGCAAAGGCCCAAGGCAGGATGTGGACGTGTGGCTGTGGCAGCTGGCAAGTGGGAAGCGGGATGGAGCCAAGGACAGGCGGCATAACTTCCTGTCCACGGAAACTGGGTTGTTCCTAGGCCTCTGGTTCCCACAGTGAGACTGACCCCAAAGCCTGCTTGCTAGGCAGACTCAGGGACCTTACAGCAGGTGTTGAGGCCTGGCAGTTCCCCCGCCCTCTTTTGTTGCTGTTTTGTTTTTGTGGTATTGGGAATGGAACCTAGGGCCTCCTGCTCTACCATTGAACCTCCCTGCCCGCCCCTCCCCCCACACTCTCTTATTTTGAGGCAGGGTTACACTAAGTGACTGGCCTCCACCCCAGTCTCATCAGCCTCCATTTGATTCCACTCTTCATCCATAGGAGGGCTCCTCCACGGTGACAATGGGAGGAGAGCGCGTGGGCCTGGCCCCGGATGACAGCCTGCTGGTACCCACAGGAACCTCGTGAGTACCTGCGCAGACTTTCTGAAAGTGTGGAACTGATCCCCTTTCCCTGGGATCTTCGGGCTCTGGCCTTGCCTAATCCTTGCCTATTTGTGTCCCTACAGGTACACATGGGAGCGAGAGCAAGGCTCTGTGGCCTTGTCTGTGACGCAGGACCCTGCCCGTAAGAAGCCACTGGGGTGACCCTCGTGTGTGGGCCCCAGGCAGTCGCAGGGTGCCTGCGTGCTGGCCTCGCAGCCGTTTTTTCCCTTAATAACTCTTATAGCCTCATTGCATCTTCACGGACATCATCAAGCGCAGCAATCTGCCCCCTGCTTGGTTATGGCTTTTCACTGCCATCCGCCCTCCTGCCATCCTCAACCCAGGATGCCAGACTCCTAGCATACCAGTAGCTCCCCTTTCTAACAGCCGTAGCCTGCACTGTCCAGCTAGATGAGTATCATCCCCATGGGCCCACCAGCTTGCCACTGCCACATCTCTCAATAAAGGCACCCTGGTGAAGGACTGCTTCTGGGTTGTAGGTGGCAGGCCCTCTGTTCCTCTGTGCTGTGGTGCATCTGGGGTTTAGGGATACCAGTGACCATCGGGTGTTAGAGGGACTGTTACTGTGTGTCACCACTGTTTGTGGATGGGCATTTCTCACTGCATAGGCAACCCTGACCCACACATGTGCTGGGTACGTCGTGGCTGCACAGCCGAGTCCCCCTCCCCCCCCCACTTTCTCCACCACAAATGTCATTCATACTAACTGTGGAAAACAGAAATCTTTAAAATGCAATTCCCCGCCCCCAGGGTTAATTACTATAGTCACAGCTTCTACCGGTGGAGGAATGGGAAGTGGGGTGTCCAGAGAGAGACATGCACAGCCTTCCTGGGCAGCCTGGGCTCAGTGAGGGACTTCACTGAGAGGCTGGTGGTACTGAGCCTGCATCTGCACAGAACAGGCCTGGGCTTAGAAACAGAGGTTCCTCTAGAAAGGGAACTACCACCCTGTCGCTCTACCCCAGCCTGGTGGCTCACTGCTCCGGCACACTCCACTGGAGGGCAATGAAGGCCCAACTTTGCTGAGAGGTGTTCTGGCCCTGAAGGATGGGACACCAGCCCCTGCTGTCCTACCCCAAACCACTGCTGTAAAGCAAAGAAGGATCACACAGGGGCCCCCAAACGTCTACCCTCCCAGGTGGCTTGGTCCATGCTTGGCTGCACCAAAGTGTTTCTGTGTGCCAGGTCTGGGCAGAGAACATGGCAGGTCTCGAGCTGCTCTAGGGTCAGAACACAGAAAGGGCAGCTTCATCTGTCAAGGAAGAACAGCCAGCCTTCCTTATTCTCTCCAACTCTCCATGAAGGTGACAGTACCTGATTTTACAGAGGACAGTTTTATTAGAGTTTAAAAGAAAATCCCAAAGCAGGAAAACTGTAAATTTTGGCAGCTGCCATTTGAGTTGGGCCAGACATGCGGTCAAATGGCCAAAAGGAAGGGAAGGGAAGCCTCATAGAGTAAGGACGACCAGATGCTGGAGAAAGTGTGCTTAGACCCATGACAGGAAGAAGAAAGGAGAGCTGTGCTCCCCTCAAGAAAAATCTAACAGAGCAATCTGGCTGCAACTCTGGAAGCAGCTGCCCTAGGGGGTGCGTATTCTGGGAAGGAAACTGCAGCATCTCATCAAAGGGATAATTGTTCCTCCTGTCCCCTTAGCATGGCTCAAAGTCTATCTGTCTTCCTAGGGATGGCTCCTTAGTCGAAGGATTAACCTGCCAGGCTGAATGCTAAGTCTCCACCCAGGCCACAGAGTTCATCTTCCTTCCTTCCTTCCTTCCTTCCTTCCTTCCTTCCTTCCTTCCTTCCTTCCTCCCCTTACCCAAAACAGGGTTTTTCTGTGTAACAGTCCTGACGCTCACTGTAGACCAGGCTGGCCTCAAACTCACAGAGATCCGCCTGCCTCTGTCTCCTGAGTGCTGGGATTAAAGGTGTGGGCCACCACTGCCTGACTGGGAGTTTGTTTTCTTGACCAGAAAACAGGTTTCCCTTTTCTGCTACAGTGACACTGGTGACAGATTGAGTCCCTAGGTAGCCTCAGGTCTCTAGGGTTCTGGGTCTTGAGTATGGTACCCAATCCCCTCTCTGCAGTTCCCTCTGGGGTTTTAGTCCATGTTAGCCAGCCTGCTTGAATCATGCAGAAGGGTCTCAGGGTTGGAGCAGGGCAGAAGCCCAGGGGAGAGGCATAGTGGAGTAGGAAAAAACAGGCAGGACGGAGGTAGGCTGAGAGACAACAGGATGCATATATTTTGAAACCAGTTTGCATGGTGTCTCTACCCACTTCCTTTTCTGAAAACTCACCATGGATCTCAGAGGAAAACCAGGTGACAGAGGGCTGTGGGCCACCTATGCAGCCTCCAGGTCACCCTGTCCCAGCTGCCTTTCTGTCTGCACTGTCTTTTCCTCCACCTGCCCCTCCCTTTGCTTTCCCTGTGCCTTGTCCACAATGGTAGAGCCACTCTCCAAGGCTGTCCCACCAAGGAGCAGAAGGCTAAGCCAGGCCAGCCCACCTCAGCCTGAGACTGAACATTTCCAAGTAAGCTGCCTCTCCTTTAATGGACCAGCTGACATACTGCTGGCCACCCAGAGCACCTGTCTGTGGTCCAGTTGTCTACCCAGGTTTGTGCTCAATAGGATCGGAGCATCCCTGGTGTTGGAGGGGGACCACATTGCTGTGGAATAGTCCCTTTGTACACTGTGAGGATTTGTCGCTGTGATTGGTTTAGTGAACAAGCTGACTGGCCATCAGCTGAACAGAATAAGTTTGGGGGCGGAGCCAAACTGAGACTGGGTGGGGGGCAGGGGAGGAGTAAGGCTGAGTCAGGAGTCACCAGCCAGACTCAGAATGAGTCAGACACATAAAATGGGATAGAGGTAAAAGCCTTGGGGCAGCACATAGATTAGTAGAAATGGGTTAAGTTGTAAGAGCTAGTTAGTAACAAGCCTGAGCTATTGGCCAAGCAGTTATAATTAATATAAGTCTCCATGTTGGTCACTGGGAGCAGGCAGTAGGGACAGGAAAATTCCTCCTATACCACATGGCATCGCCTCCATCCCCAACCCCCACCCCCACTTTCTGGAAACGTTTCTGCCAACACATCTTTCTGAGCTTCCTATCTCCCATCTCTAAAACTAGCAGGCTGTTCCAGCCCAGCCTAATGTAAGAGAAATGTCTAGATACCCTCATGTGTGTGTTGCTGTTCTTGCCCACCTAGATCAGGCACAGGCACAGGATGCCTCTGAGTAGTCCCCGGGACAGTATGGATCCATCTCCCAGCCATCCCTAGAGCCTCCCTTGATTCTGACTATACCCTCAGGCTCTCACTGAGCTTGCCAGCCCTGCTGCTGCCTGCCCCAACTTCCTCAGGCTGCCTTCTGTAAAGGGCCCTTGCCCCCCTGAGGACCTTAGGCTGCCACCACGACCCCCAGGGAAAGTAGAGCACCCTTGGTCTGGTCAGTGTACCTTTCTCTGGACATGCTTCTCCATTAGTGGAATGGAAACCATGACCCTGGCCCTTGCCAGCTGTAGGATGTAAGATGGAGACAAGCCAACAGCAGAGCTCCAAGGAGGAAGGTACCTATTGGGGAGCAGGAAGGGAACAAGAGGAGAGGTGGGATGGAGAACTATCTGCCTCTTACAGCAAGGTGAGCCGCAGTACAGGGGTGCTCCGTGAACTAGAGACGTTGGGGTTCTAGCTCACGCTGCGCAAGTGTGGGCCAGCTCTTTGTAGCCTTTCTTTCTCCCAGTATAACCTGCTCCTATCCCGGGCACAACACAGCAGCATCCATTGCTTTCGTGCCAGGATTTCTGTACAGGGAGGTGAGTGGGACAGGGAAGCGAAGGACCAGTAGTCATTAATGCTTACCCAGCATCTACTGGGCCTCCCGTGGGCCACACGTAGCTGGAGGTGACAGGTAGAGTAGATTGCTCTCCTCTGACTGTAGGCTGTGATTCCTGGCAAAGGCCTGAACACAGACCCTGGCAAAGAGCACACAGCATCAGAGCTCAAAGGCACTGCCCGACTGAGCAGGGAAAATGATCGGTGATAATTGGGCAGTGACTTGTGACGAGCTGGTATAAGAACAGGTTTAGAGGAGAGGACGGAGGGTTGAGCCTCAGAGTACTGTGTGGAAGCCTCCAGGGATCCAACAGATGGGAGTACCCTCAGAGCTGGGATGGGAAGGCAGAGGTAATGGTAATGGATGGCATTCTTAGCAAGAGAGCAAAGTGGAACAAGATACATCCTTTTAAGGTCCCTGCAGGTAGGGGGCACACACAAAATGAAAGACCCAGAAGGAAAAAAAGTGTTCAGAAGAAAGCTTTAAATAGAAGATGCAGGCTGTATCAAGGAAAAGAGAACATTAGGGAAGGCAATATCTTTGCCCAAGTAGAGAGATTTCCATTAGAAAAGATGGAATGAAACCACCATTTAGGATGGGAAAGCGCCGCGTGCAAGAACAGAGCATTTTTCAAAAGTGCTCTCTAACTGCCAGCTGCAGGGAAGCCAGTGTGCGGAGCCAAGTCTACATTGTGTCTGGCATCTGGAATGGGCACCCAAGTTAGCAATATACTATAGTATAGAACTATAATTTTACATTATAGACAAGTACTATATTAAAAAAAAAAAAGCTTTCCAAGATATGGCAAGTTGTAAGCGAGGTGTGGTGGCACATGTCTGTAATCCCTGCACCCAAGAAAACAATGGGTTCAAGGCCAACTGTGGGGAAGGGGCAGCCAGGAGCGATATCTAACTGTGTCTCTAAGTAGCAGTCAACGCAATAAGGAGAGGGATGACCACAGCTTTGAGTGCTCGAGACACTTGGACTTTTGGCACTTTAGACAGTCATTAGTGACTTTACTGACAGCAAGTTCTGTGAGTGGCTGCCGGGCCAGAGCAGAATGGAAACCATAAAGTAGTGTAATGGGTTGAGGCATTAATGAGATTTGAAGTAATGGAGACATGCACCTCCTCTTTCGGTTACTTTGACAGTAAAGGGAGACAGGGTGCGGTAAGCAAGAGGACCGAGGTTTCGGTGGTTCGAGGGTTTTGCCATCTTGTGGACTGAACAGAGGAATTTAAATATAGTTCCAGGAGGAAGAGCAGGGGGAGGAGAGAACAATGGTAGGGATGAGCTAATAGTGATAGACACTGTGTGCCAGGCTCTGTTCTAAGCATCATACATGTATTAATTTCTTTAGCCCTGAGATAGATACCATTGTCTCATTTTACAGATGAGAATTCAGAGACACAGATGGGTTGGGTGGCTTTCCCAAGGCCCCATAATTAGAGTCTAGATACTGTACTGTCAAGTCCTAAACAGAGTGGTAGGTGTGTGAATTCAGCCTGTGTGTAGCAGGAAGGTGTGTCCTTCTCAGCTAGGCAATGACACTTGAGAGAGCTGACCTCTACTGAGACCCTTGGAAGACTTGGCTCTGTAGGGTGAGA